ATTAAAGTCTCATGGTCAGTGGACGTTTGTTAAACATGGTGCGCCCACGCCGTGTTGGTAAATTCTCAACATTTCACGACGTCAACAGGAAATGAAATCTTAGCATGCTCGCGCGAGCAGGGCACGCGTTAAAGTGCGGAAAGTGACTCAAGGGCAGTGGACGTTTTACAATCTTGGCGTGCCCACACGGTGTTTGACGACCCAAACATGAATTCAAAAAAAAAACTTTAAAAATTGACGTTGAAAAAAAAATTAAAAAATTCAAAAAAAAACATTTTTTTTTCTTTTTCTTCAAAAAATTCAAATTTTGAAAAAAATTTGGAAAAAAACATTGAAAAAAAAACCCAAAAACTATTTTTTTCTTTTTTTCTTTTTTCTCTCTTCTTTTTCTTTCTTTCTTTCTTTCTCTTTTCTTTCTCTTCTTCCCCGCTGCCTTGTTCCTCTTTTTCCTTCTTTTTTCTTCTTCGGCCGCCACTACTCCATCGTATGCCGCCGCTGCCCAACGCTACTTCCCCGCACGCCACCAACTCCACCCACGGTCGCGTCAGCTCTACCCACGGCCTCTTCTCTCTCCCCTCGCGGCCGTCCACCACTCAACGATGCTCACGAGCTCACCACAGCCCCCGCGCTCATCCCTCTCTCTCCCCACTTGGTCCACCACCACTCCACGTCCTTTTCTCGTCTCCACCAGCTCCACCCCAGCGTGTTACCACCTGTCAAAAATTGACAGGTGGAGGTATTGCATTTTCAACCTCGATTCGTATTTTTCTGGTTCTTATATTGCTGGAATTTGCGCTTTTGTTTCTTAGGTTTCTTGATAGATAAAAGCAGGGGCGATTTAGGCATTTTTTGGGGTTAATGTTGGTGGAACTAAGTTTATTTGCTACTCCATTTGGGGGCATTATCTAGTATTGATTACATTGTTGAATATTGTTTGGGTTTTGACTACTTGAGGTTTCTATTGCATTTGGGGGATAAAATTTGACGGCTCTTGTGCCCAGTTCATTTGCTCGAGAATTGTTGGGGGTGATTTGGGAGATACTTGTCATTTGGGTCTCATTTTAATTTCTGCTATTCTGTGGTATTAACTTGGGGTGTTTTACCTACCTTTGTTGATTTTATTTGGTTACATGTCTGATTGCGAGCTAAACACCTCGTGCTTAAGTTGTTGTCCGCATTTTGAACTGTGGTTGTTGGAGTTGCCATTTTCTTGGGTCAATTGCTAATTTTGGTAGGTTGAATTGGGTAATTGACTATCCAATTGGAGACAGTTGTTACGATTTTGGATCCAATTGTGTCTAATTTGATGTAATTTGTGTCTAATTGTGGATAATTTGTTGCGGTTGTTTGTTAAATTGGGAGGTGCCTGTAACACTTACATTTGCTTATTGAAGTTGGTTGCCTCTAATTTGCTGCTGTTTTGATGACTTCAGGGAAGTACCGTTGCCCCTCTCATTCCTTCTACTTTTACATTATCACATTGAGAGCAATGTGTGAATTAGATGTGGGGGGGGATCGTAGTGGTACTAGTATTAGTAGTTTTTAGGCTCTAGAGGCTTTTCCTTTATTTTTAGTTAGTTTTTTGCCTATCTTTCATTTCATTTCTTTTTATTTAGTGATCAGTCCTTCTATGAATACCAAGTTTTGATGTTGGATTGTTGTTTCTAATTCTGCTATTGCTGAGTTTTAGTAATAAAATGGTATCAAATTAATGTGGTTGAATTCAGGAATATCTCTCTGGTGAATATCAGTAATTGCTTGACTTTTCTAATTTTTGGTTAACTTTTCTAGGCATAGGGAATGATTGTTGGCATTTTTCATGTGAATTGGTCTAGTTATTAATTTTAGTTCTCCATGTTTGGAAATTTGAGGCTGGCTGCTGTTACTTTTGTGTGATTTTTAGTTATTGTACTATACAATTGTAAATAAGAGTTGACTGTACTCCACTAGTGGTTACTACTGAATAATCGGGGATCTTCACCTAAAGTGTCGATTCTCGCATCAAAAGGTAGTAGCTACTATGAGTGCGTGGTCCTGTAGCGATTGGAGCTGAGTAACCGGGCTCCTCCATCTGACAAATGTTGGAGTTCGTGTCAAAAGGCTTTAAGGGCTATAGACTAAGTCTTTTGTTATTCAAAAAAAAAAAGAAAAAAGAAAAAAAAGAAGAAGTAAAGTTAAGATTGTGTTAGTTTGTGAATAAGTCAGCTTGCCGGTTTGTGATCTTAATGTCGATATTTTGGTTAATAATTAGATCATTTGCTGATAAATGTGAGCAACTATTCCTTTTTCTTAGATTAGTTTGCTTTAAATTGGAGGAGTTGGTGGTTGGGAAGCTAACCGGGGTGGTTTTTCTTTGATCTTAACCTGTGATGCTTGGTATATGTTTTTCTGGGTATCTTGGCAATACGGTAGTTGGAGCAATGACCAGTGTCAAATTCTGGTGTTCAATTGCTGTTCTCATGCTTGAGGGCAAGCATGGTTCAGGTGTGGGGGGAATTGATAGGGTGCTAATTATTAGTAATTTTATTGCTAATTTCCCCTCTTGTCCTTGCCAAATATTGTTTTAGTTGTTAATATATACTTATTTTTAGTATTTGGACCTATCTACAGGAAGTGGAACTGACAAATGCTAAAAAGGAGATTTTATTGAGAAAAATCCTGCACACGCTAGAGCCTCCAGCAGATATACAAGTTGGGCCCACATGGTGCTACAAAAACTCCATTTTCGGGTGCTGATGGAGAGCTCTTATTTATTGATAGTTGACTTGTATGTGTAGGAGTCCTCCTACCAAGAGGAAACAAGAAAAGTGGAATTGGCAAGGGCTTTCCTCTGGTACTTGGACTCCCAATTTGCTCGCGGGGACCACGGCGGAAAAGAGAAAAGGCATTAGTCATTGGAATTTAAAAAGGACAAGAAGAAACGTATAGAGAGGAGGATAGCTTTTAGCAATAGTTTAGTTTCCTTTCATGGACGCCTACTATTTGACAAAAGTCCCAACTGGGGAAATATCTTTTACCTCTTGATTATTTAGTGAAAAATCCGATGCCTTTGCAATCAATTAATTTGGGTGGAGATTTATTTATGCGGCGTGGCTAAACCTGTCATCTAGTCGAAGGCCAACTTGAAGGCGCGGTTCCAAATATCTGTGAGATCGAATTAATTTTATTTATTTCTTTTGTTCATTGGTATCTATATGTTTCCTGATTTAATTGCTTATATTTGTTATGTTATTTGAATGTCAATGGTTCGATATTCGAATTAACCTAATGATCTAATGCCAAATTAATTGATTGAATCCGTAATTGTTCAATCGATTAATACTAGTGGCGACTAGCGTGATTGGTTTCAGATTAGGGAAACGTATGATCTAATTTGAACAAACCCTCGTAGCGTGTTTGTTGGTTAGGGTTGGGCTTTTCTAATTATTAATGCAATCGAGTAATTAAATCTTACGGTCGTATCTAGGGTTATTTCTTGATTAGAGAAATAGTTAACAGTCGTACCTTAACTATCGAGAAATTAAGAAAAGGCTGGTTGTTCATCGCGTGTATGACAACTATAACCAATCTAGTAATGAGTAATTGAATTATCTTTGCATCGATGATCAGTTGAATGGACCGTGTCTGAAAAGTTGCACCTTTGGCTAGAGTCGTATTGGTTATTGATTAATTCTTGTTTATTTCTATTAGTTGTTTCATTAGTTAGTTAATTAGTTATTTTATATTTTTCAAAAATCCCCCATGCGCTGAACTCTAGAAGAAACGAATTATCCCCAGTCCCTGTGGATTCGACCCTGCTCACCGCTATATACAAAATTTGAATTTTTCTTGAGTAGGTGATTATTATTACACAGGCTCGACACCCTGTCATTATGCAGACAAGATCATTGATAGATTAAACCAAGAAAAGTGGTCTTACAACAATGACAATATGTCAATACTGAAATCTTTTTTATTTAATATATTATCAGTTTGCAACCTAATAATTTTTTTATTACTGTAATCAGACTATTGTCAAGCAATTATGCTGATTGAGAGAGACCATGCACTTGAGAGAGACCATGCACCTGCACTCAATTTTAATTTCATTGGTTAACGTGAAGGTTTCCTTGAAAGCTTTGTATCCGGACCAGAATTCAGCTTGGATGCCTTGATCTCAATATTTGTTTAGCATGCGCATTTCCTTTCCAGTGGGCAAATGTTCACGTAACAAGCTCCATTTCAAATCACCGTTTATTTAGAAAATGCCAAAGAGAAAGACGAACTATTTTCACTACAAGAAAATTGGTCTTCAATGACAAGCTATTTTTGTCACAAAAAAATAAAAAGTCGTCACTGATAACTTTTATTGACAACTTTTTAATTGTCACAGGGTCGTCACTGAAAGCCCGTCGGTAAAAGTACATAGTGACGACAATAAAAGTCGTCAGTGAATGGGACTATTTTGTGACAACAGGTATCGTCAGTAATTGTTGTAATTTTAGTGATGAGATAATATCTTGTCAATAATATACAAAGCAATGTCGTCACTAAAAGTGATCCGTATTTGTCATTGGTATAGACTAATTACTAACAACTTTTGTTGTCACTAAACACTTTTTAATTCTATGACAACAGGTTATTATTAATGGAAAATTCTGATTCAGTGATAACACTTTATCACCATGAAATTTGTAAGATTTTCCTACTACAATTATATCTATAAACGAAAAAAATGACAATGCTTGACAATTAGCAAATGAACTCATCCATTGCATTACGAAATGCCAAAATATCATATCAAGCATTCAAATATCATAATGAAGTTCAACAACACCCTACAAATAGTTTGATAAGTGGTATTTGGCCTAAATTTCACATATAAGTCAAGGTAGCTTTACAAAACAAATCCAAGTCCCAAAAAAATATGTGTTGTCATGACATTTCGTAAGTATAAGATTTTCTTTATCGTCCTTGAGTCAATTAGCAACTCCTGCTGCTGATCTTCCAAAAAGCTAAAACGAGCAACATATCTGCAGTGGAGTACTGCAATTATTAGTAGGTCATAAGAAAAACTTGAGACAATAAAGATAACTAAAGAATTTTCAAGAAACTAAGCTAAATCATTCCTTTTAAGTATAATCTGGACAATGACTAAATAAAGGAAAAGTAAGAGATAAACACTTAGAACATTAGAACTCAAGAAACACTTCTTTTACTTTTATTACATTATTAAGAACTCAAGAAACAATTAATATGCTTATGCTACCATATTAAGAACCAAACAGTGTTCCTTCTATGGCTTCATAGGCTCCATTTGTATGGTTCATTCTATAGATTATGCATAGCAACTTCAACTTTTCAGGTATTGAAAATGCATATTGTTTATCTCTAGACCAAATTTTGATGACAAATAAAATTCGACATATCTAGAGATTCTTAGCGCCTATTGATAATATATTAATGATTTTAATAATAAAAGATTTGATGCATCTAATATTTTAGTGAAACTGTGTAAAAAATGGAAAAGATGCTCCACTATAAATCGAAGCTTCTAACTATGAGGCGAACCAATACATTCACTAACCAACCTACTTTCAATTTTCAAAAGTTCTAATAGCAAATATCACATGCTAGTAGCTTAAATAGCATAAAAGTACGTAGTTATCAAGAAAAGTTTGCATAAGATGTCATGAAATACTAGATTATGAAATTTCTTTTCTACTAGTTAGCTTAGAGACCACCTGTAGCTTGTTTATATGCAAATGTCTCCTAGAACAAAGTGACAATTGTCACTTTTACAGAAACTTTGTTGACAAGACCCAACCATTTGAAACAAGTCTAACAAAGATAGAAAGGAGTATATATTTACCCAAAAAACATCACAATAATTGGAAATTCCATAGCAAGGACCAATAGCATCAGCATAATAAGCTGCAAGACAATAACAAACCAATGAAGTCCCTATGAAACGATACTGTGCATTATAAGCTAAAAGACAATGAATAAAATGGTAGTTGTAGTTCTTATAAGAAAATGTTTGCATATAAAACATATGTTTCCTTCTTTTAATTTTGATACTAATCTATACTTGTACCTAATAACGTTACGACTAAGCACTACATAATCGTCAAAACTTACATATTCATTCAGGTAGTCCATCACCAAATACGAAAAAAATGGTAGCAAAGAACTACTTATTCAAGATAAACTCTAGAATTTGGACAATGAAAATCAAGCTTGATGTGTACCTTTGGCAAGGAAAATGCTGTCTCCAGCTTATACCATAATCTGAATATCATGATTTCCTCAAAAAAACTAAAAACACCTGCTTGTAACATAGTTAGCTATATAAGGCAATTAAAAGTAGTATCACAAAGTCCGTACTCCTTAACTAACCACAAAACTTGAGAAAATTATGACTCCTAATGCAAAAGATGTGCAATATATACATATTTCCCATGCGGCTTTTGTATTATATTTGAATTATGCTCCACTTCAGCACAAAAAAAAGAAAAGAGGGAAATTTTTTACATCAGAAAAAATTCCACTAAACCTTGCCATTTCCCAATTCCCTCTCTACCCAGCACCACTTAGCCCACTATTTTTCTCACTTGCAGCCACTCATAGCCATATCTACATCATAATCACCTCTTAAATCTTTTCCACTCCTACCAGTATAGCTAATTAGGATGTAAAGCGTACAAGAATCCAACAGTTCACAAAGTTTCACTTTCAACTGGTCATAGTAAAGTGTTTTTTTGGATATTTACCTAACTTAACGAATCACTAAATTTGCCAAGATGCGATTGGCCAACTCTTGTTTCATTTTTTTTTTGTTTAAAACTGCATGAAGAAGAAGTGAATTCATATAATATTGTTTATAATTAGAAATTGGAAGAGTAGTAATTGTGTGTTAAAACTTAAAAAGGGTGTTTTACATAAATGAAGGCTGCTTCAGGAGAATACTTTAAAAGACAAAAATGAAAAAGAAAAACTGTTTGTAGATCCATTCATTTTCAGCCCAGTAAACACAAAGCAGACACTAAAGCAAATGATAGACATGAGTATAGGTTTCATTCCCATAGTCTATCACTATCCTGTCGTTGCGTAAAGACGTAAACATTAACATTGAGAGGTTTACATTAATGAATTTTCTACCGATCTTAAGGATCATATAATTCTTCAAAAACCCAAGTGCTGCTAACTGCTAACAAGTACCAACCCATTCAACAAACAAACGCCAAGCCGGACAGGAAGAATACAAAAGTGATTATACTACAATAAATTATTCTCTTGCCATAATTGAAGGAATATTTACATTCCAAACGTTTCCCTAGACCCAAATCTGATGGAGCTAGAGAACAAAGGAACCCTTAAATCTAGAGGGAGTGTGACTAGGAAAATGGGTATTCTTTATGGGTCTGAGTACTGCTATATTCTTTGTCGGGGGCTCCCTGTTTATCTTACGCACACCCTTGTAATTCCCCCCTTCATTTTATTCCCATCTTCTTGTCCCCGTTTTCCATCCCATTCCAAGAAACAAACCCCTCTACATCGTAATCACCTTCGTCCCCAAACTCAACCTCAAACCGGTATCCACCACCAACCCCACTGAAACCCTTTATCTTGTACAATAAAAAAGAATGAAGTAATGGTATTCACAACTAAAATAATTCTAGTGGAGATGATTTCACCCATAACTCAAAAATATCCAAAAAAAAATTGGGCACAATTTTTTGGCGAAAAAATAAGGGATAATTGCAGAAACCTCCCCTGACTTTTATAGTAATAGCATTGACCTCCCCTATCAATATTGAAATAGCACTGACCTCCCCTATCAAAAGTTGGAGGCAATTTAATAGGCAAAAGTGGATCAATTTACTAAAGTATCCCTGACATGATTTAATTTTACCAAATGAATGTGATGAGTACTTTCATCAAACCCAACAAAACATTTGTTAATAAAAATTACACTAAATTAACTATTTCTGCATAGTTTAACTAATTAACTAAATAACTAATAATCTAATTAATTAATAACTAATTATCTAATTAACTATTAACTAATTAACTAATTATCTAATTGTTAATAGTTATTAACTAATCAAACTATTTCTGCATAATTAAACTAATTAACTATTAACTAATTATCTAATTAACTATTAACTAATTAACTAATTAATTAATTAATTAATTAACTAATTAACTAATTTCTGTTTATCTAATTAACTAATCTCTATTTATCTAATTAACTAATTATCTAATTAACTAATTAACTAAAGTTGTTGTCTGTCCGAAACTAATAAACTATTTGCATGTTAAACTAATTAACTAATTAGCTGCTTAACTAATTAACTACCTAATTATCTAATTAATTAATTAACTAATTAACTAAAGTTGTTGTCTATCCGAAACTAACAAACTATTTGCATGTTAAACTGATTAACTAATTAACTAAAGCTGTTGTCTATCCTAAACTAACAAACTATTTGCATGTTAAACTAATTAACTAATTAACTAACTAATTATCCAATTAATTAATTAATTAATTTTTGTTTATCTAATTAACTAATTATCTAATTATCTAATTAACTAATTAACTAAAGTTGTTGCCTATCCGAAACTAACAAACTATTTGCATGTTAAACTAATTAACTAATTAACTAAAACTGTTGTCTGTCCGAAACTAACGAACTATTTGCATGTTAAACTAATTAACTAATTAACTACTTAACTAATTAACTAACTAATTATCTAATTAATTAATTAACTAATTTCTGTTTATCTAATTAACTAATTAACTAAATCTATTGTCTATCCGAAACTAACAAACTATTTGCATGTTAAACTAATTAACTAACTAATTATCTAATTAATTAATTAACTAATTAACTAATTTCTATTTATCTAATTAACTAATTAACTAAAGCTATTGTCTGTCTGAAACTAACAAACTATTTGCATGTTAAACTAATTAACTAATTAACTGCTTAACTAATTAACTAATTAATTAACTAACTAATTAACAAACTATTTGCATGTTAAACTATATGCAGTGCGCATTACCTATTTAAAGTATCGGTTCTTATAGGTATTTTACTTTCAAACATTTAATTTATGATGAAAATATCAATGTTTGTAAGTAAAATTCAAAAAGTGTTACAAAAAATATCAATATTCTTACTTTCAAACATTTAATTTATGGCCCTATGCCCCTCCCTTTTTGTAAGAATATTACTGTAACACTTTTTGAATTTTACTTACAAACATTGATGTTTTTATCATAAATTAAATGTTTGAAAGTAAAATACCCATAAAGAGCCGATACTTTAAATAGGTAATGCGTACTACATATAGTTTAACATGCAAATAGTCTGTTAATTAGTTAGTTAGTTAATTAGTTGATTAGTTAAGCAGTTAATTAGTTTAACATGCAAATAGTTTGTTAGTTTCGGACAGACAACAGCTTTAGTTAATTAGTTAAGCAGTTAATTAGATAAATAGAAAGTAGTTAATTAGTTAATTAATTAATTAGATAATTAGTTAATTAGTTAATAGTTAATTAGTTTAACTATTAACTAATTAGATAATTAGTTAAGCAATTGTCAAGCAAATAATAATTGTCAAGCAAGAAGAGGGCAAAATTGGAAGAAATTTCTTATCTAACATCTACAAAAGCTGTCAGGGAGGTTTCTGCAACGAATTGTTACTGTTCAGGGGAGGTGAATGCAATTTCTAAACCTTGAGGGGAGGTCAGTGCAAATGTCAAAAATCTCAGGGGAGGTTTCTGCAATTATCCCAAAAAATAATTATGGCAAAAAAAATTGGGGAAAAATCGGGGAGAAGAAGGAGAGACATGAGATACCTTTTGTTGCAAAGAGTTGGTGGAGCACTTCTTCTGTTCAACATCACAAAGACATGATCGATCTATGGAGAGGAAAAGGAGAATTGTTTTTTTGTTAATAGTTTCTGTTGAGGATGTAAAGTGAGAGAGTGGGAGACGAATGGAGAGTAAAGCGGAGAGCTTTTCTATTGGGTTACAAAATGTTTGTTTTTCAAATTTGACCCGCACCACATATTTTTCACATACTTTGTTTATTTAGTTTCGGTGAAATATCGGTTCATTGGGTTCCCCAAAATTGCAATCAAGTTTTTTTGGTTGAAGTATAATTTTACTAATACATTATTAATTGCTACCTTTTAACATTTTTGTCAAAAAATTTCATAATGGGAGTCAAGTTTTTGTTAAATTAATACAAGTGGTAAATGTACTTTTGTTCAACATCAAATAGTTCAATTTTTTTGGTAATAACTTCAAATATTTTTTTGTTGAATAACTTCAAATAATTCATACAGGTGTTAAAACTTTATATCACTTCCTCAAAATTGCAAAACTAAATTAGTATATCTTACATCTCTTTCATTCTTTTAATTTAGTCTAGTAGTACCATAGGTGTTTAGTTATGGAAAATTCTACTTTAAATAACATATGACTTGTATGACCGACATAAACTAAAAGATGGTTCACCCCTAATTTTTAGGAGTTCCCATATATTTGTGTCTATTGGTTTGTATATAGTGTTTTTTAAAGTCAGTTATTGTAAATGAACTCTTTAGTTATTTTATGCTGATAAGCCACGCATGTTATCAGTTGATTTTGTTTGAAGTTATTGTACTACTAATTTGCAAAACAAACCTGGGTTGCCATTAATTTTTAGTAGATTTAAATAGAGCATATTCAATTAACAAAGCACATTTTAAATAGTGGACATTCAATTAACATCCAATACAAAACTTCACTATTAATCCATTATCTTCAAATAAGAAAAAAATGCACAATTAAACTAATACATAAAGTGTACTAGTTAATTAACTATGGAGTTTAGGATTTATCCACTTTGATAACTAGTTCAATTTGAAAACTCTTATTTATATTCATATCATATTAACTAATAATTATTCTAAGTTAAGTAGTCACAAGTTTATTTACACTAATGAATTTTTTATTTTTTAATTATTTTTATTCTAATGAAGTTATTACATGTACAAGAAAATTAAACTAATAAGGAGGCTCATAAGCATATAACAATTAAAAATCATTAGAGAACACATAATAATTACAAAAAATTAGGAGTAATAGTTGCAAAAAGCAATAAATATTTTAAATCAAACAGTGACAAGACTAGGTTGTCACTAACGGCTATACAATGTTATCAGTGACAACAATTGTAAAGTTGTCAAAGAAAGTGCTATTAATACTGACACCTTTTAGAAAGTCATCACTATTGCAGTTCCCGCTCTCTTCATGA